AATTGAGTTGATCAAGGCTTGATTGAATGCTTTGTCCAATTCTACCACCAGAATTGTTTAAAACTATGAATGACAAATATGATGCTTGGATTTCTAAGGGAAACGTTTTAATTTAAGATATGAATTACATTCATCCACCAATCTGAATTTTACTTAACATATTGTAGGTATTTATAGTCTTCCAACAAAAGACGTTTGTGGATGAAATTTATTCCCGATTGACTTTTACATAATTTATGAAATTAAAAATAGTTATTTTTAACCAATGTTACATGGTTGAGTGACTAATACGATAGATTTAAAATTAATGGAGCTCTCTGCGCGTAAGTTTGATGTGGAGGCTCTCATTTAGTGAGCCTCGGTTTGAGGCTTAGGTCGATCCTAGGTTCAGTCCTTCTTGAAGGGTCACACTCAATGCTCCATTGCGGGCGTAGTCGTAGTCTAGCCATTATTTGAAAATATCTTAAATTTATTGGTTTCAAATTATCTACGTGGCATTATAAATTTTATAAATTTAACTATTTAAAAAACTTTTATAAAATAATAATGAAGTAATTCTGAACTTCAAAATCATAAAAAAAATACGAAATTTCTTATTTAACCTAAAAATGTCTCATCGTTCGAGAGTATAGGTGGCCGATTAGGGGTACAATGGTCTTTTTGTTAATCGTGTTTAAATAATTGGACTAGACGACAAGCACCGGTTGGGGTAGTCCGACTCGGCCCGACAAAAATCATAAACCCGCAGATCCGGACACGTGGCGCAACAAATTAGCAGACAAAAAGATCAGACTTCCCGTGGGGCCCAGAGCATATCCAGCCTAACCATAGTTGAAAATTTTTAACCATGGTTAGCGCGCCGCTTTTAATCTTTTTTAAAAAAATTTCTCGACCCCAAGAAAAAGAAAGTGACTCGCAAATTTTAAATTTCTGTCTCTTTCTTCAACCTCCGTCTCTCTCTCTAGTTCCTCTCAAGTGTGAACTGTGAAGTGGCCGCCGCCTCGAAGGGACCACGAATTTCCGGCCACACATCCGTCGATCTAGTTGATTTTTATTTGAACTTGAGAACTCAAACCAGATAATGCTCTGTTCATCTGTTAGTACTTCGATCTCCGACTACAGTTTTCTGAATCGATTAAATTAGGGCTTCAAATCATCCTCTAATGGTATCGGCAGAGAACAATTCTCCAACGGCGGCGCTTACGGCATCTTCCTCGCAAGGAGTTGAGCTTGAGATTATCGACGCCGTGGCTCCGCTGAAGAAGAAGCGGAATCTACCAGGAATGCCAGATCCTACGGCGGAGGTGATAGCTCTGTCGCCGAAATCGCTTCTAGCTACGAACCGATTCGTGTGCGAGATCTGCAACAAAGGATTCCAGCGAGATCAGAACTTGCAGCTTCACCGACGCGGCCACAACTTGCCTTGGAAGCTCCGACAGCGGACGAGTAATGAGATTCGTAAACGAGTTTACGTCTGTCCGGAGGCGTCTTGTGTCCATCACAATCCGGCTAGGGCACTCGGCGATCTCACCGGTATCAAAAAGCACTACTCCAGAAAGCACTGTGAGAAAAAGTGGAAGTGCGAGCGGTGCTCGAAGAAGTACGCCGTTCAATCGGACTGGAAGGCGCATATGAAAACCTGCGGAACAAGAGAGTATAGATGCGATTGCGGAACTTTGTTTTCTAGGTATAAATTAATTCATCAAATCTTCAATTCCTCAAATCCTCTTCCACTTCCTTCTTTTATTATTTCTTAAACCTTATTAATTTTTTAAAGGAGAGATAGTTTCATCACGCATCGAGCCTTCTGCGACGCTTTGGTGTTCGCAAGCACGAATTCCAACGCGATGGTCCCCGCGGCAGCGGCAGTTGGTTCTTCGCCACCGGCGCCGCCACTGACGCCATCTACCACCGTGCTGTCTCCTGCTTTATCGATTCAAAGCTCAGGTAACATTAAATGCCCATTCTCATTCGGTTGTTTTGTTCTTCGATTGCTAGATCTAGAAAAAGTAATATGGCTGCCGGACTATAACGTGGAGTAAGAAATTTTGCACTATTAATATTGATATAAGGTCTTTCGAAGAAATCAAAGTAAAATCAAGTGAGCTTGCGCTCAAAATGGATAATATCTTACCTTCATTTTTAACAAAAATTTGTATTATGAAAGAGATCTGGAGAAGGCTGTTGTCTTGACTTGGTTCACTGTTTTTCATTTGGAGTATTAAATTTGTCTGCATTTTGTTCTCTTTGCTGATTGTCGGTTTAAAAGCCATTAAAACTTTTGGATTCACAGATTAGGGATAGGAGGGATGAGCTCTCTTACTTAGACTCGATTGAACTAGGAAAAAGTACAGAGTGATAATAGGAATTTATATAAAATATTGAATCATAAAGTGGTTAATTAGTGGCTAATTAGTGGGAAGGTTTTGTTCTTTTGAGATTTTCTAACACTAATTAGGAAAAAAGGCTTAATCATTGCTGTCATAATGTTCCCTCAACTGTTAAGGCACACACAATGCAGCATGGAGTTCTGTTTATCGTATGACTTTTCTGGTTGCAGAACCACCGGACAATCCCATCGGACCTCCGCCATTAACACCGCCAGTCACAGGCCTAACCTCACCCACCGCCTCCAACATAACCAACCCAACAAACGGCTGTGGCATCAGTGGTGGTACAAGCGTTTTCGCTGGTGTATTTGCTTCTCCTCCTATTAGTGCCCAAAATCCACCCCATCAAATCACCACCTCCGGCAACCGGTCAGACGGCGTCAATAATCCCCAAACCACCGCCATTGAACCCACATCGCTCTCTCTCTCAATGTCTCTCTTCCTCTCCTGCACAGCCTCAGCCTCAGCCTCGGGCTCATCCCTCTTTCAGGAACATCCACCACATTACTCCTCATCACCCCAGCCCGCCGCCATGTCCGCCACCGCTTTACTACAGAAGGCTGCCCAAATGGGCGTCACCGCCTCCAACGCCGCCTCTTTTCTCCGAGGCACCGGGCTCTCAATATCGCCATCTCCCAGCCAAGCCACTTTTGCCTCTATGACGGCTGGGCTGGAACTTGGATTTGGAAACGAGCCCGCCACACGAGATCTCCTTGGACTTGGCATGGGCGGCGCAACCCCCGGCAGCGGTTTTTCGGGTCTTTTTACGTCCTTTGGTGAAGCTGCTGCACCTTACGGCGGCGGTGGCGGCGGGAGTAATGGTTCGTAAAATCAACTGTTGTGTAATGTGTATAACAGCTGTTGTTTATTTGGTGTACAGAGAACGAAGACATGCAGCTAGCTGCTGGGGTTACCACTTGGTACTACCATAATTCTTAAATTTTGTTTCATATATTGCCGAATAATTATATAATATGTCCCTTTTTCCATTAACTTATGCTTTTCTTGTCTTATTATTATTAAATTTTATTCTTAAAATAATTATCATTATAATTCAACTCTTTTTTTAGTAAACCCAGTTTTTTTTTTTTTTTTTTAATTTTATTTTCACTCATTTTTGTCAAATATTTACAACTTAAAAAGACAAGTCTCCGTTGAAACAAAGATTGAGCGTTCCAATCTGGGCCATTGCCTGGTCAGATTCCCACGTTGTATTCAGTGTGCTGAGCTGGCAATACCATCACTCTGATAGTTGGGTCAGCTTCACTTATGACGGTAGGTCCATTTTCTTCCACGTGGCGATGTACCTTAACTTGCGTGTCTGCTCAGCCACGTCATGAAAAGAGTACGTGACGTCGTTTCGGTTTCTGGGCCTAAGGCCAGCTGACGTGGAAGACACTTGTAGCATTCTAAGTGGGCTTATATTATAGCTCTGTTTTTAGAGCTATAATATAACATTTCTCCGATAAGCTTTCAGTTTTTTATTCAAAGTAATCTGTCTTTTAATTTACATTTCATTAAATAAATATTTATTTAAAATACAATTTTGTCCATCTAAATTTAATTTCTATATTTTTAATAAATCTTCTATTATTATCTTAAATTAAGTAATATTAAAATTAATTTAATAATAACAAAATTTATCCAATACGAAAGTTATGTTAAGATATAAGATATAATAGAATTAATCACATATAAATTAATAAAAAATAATAATTTCTAATTATGACGTTTTTTTTTTAATAATAAAGGCTAATTTTTCCTACTAATTACAAAATTGTTATTTTTATACCAATTTAAAATTAAAAAAAGATAAAAAAAAAAAGAAATATATATATATATATATATATATATATGGATATATATTCTAAAGTATATAATATTCATACATTAATTATTTTAAACTTTCAACGTCCAAAAATTATCACGTTTGTTGATGTGCTGACTTCTCGCTTATATATATATATATATATATATATATATATATATGTCACATTCAAATATTCATAATAAATAGCTTATTCACCATATTTTATTTTTCTTCCGAGTAAAGCTTTGATACAATAATTTACAGGTTACTTTCATTCGCTATATTTATTCACGAGCTTGTAGAAAGCTCGTGTGTTGTGTATTTAAAGTACATAAATTTATAAATCTAATAAAAAATTAATTAATAAGATATAGATAAAATAAAGATACAATATTATCCCACGTGTTAATATTAATAAAATTTACAGTACTTTAAAAATTGGGAGGGTTTAAATCTTTCTATTCTCCAAACCCTAAAATGTCAAAAACCCATCACTAATGATATTATTTGCTTTGACCCGTTACGTAGTGCCCGCACAGTTTGAAAACGCATATGTTAAGGAGAGGTTTCTACAGCCTAATGCTGTGTTGGCGAAACTAGCTTCTTGAGTTGTGAGCAGAGAAGAGAGAGACAAAGACTTGAGCCGGGACATAGTTAAGCGAGTCCCGAGTGACTACGAGCGATGTGATACTCGGGGCGGTCGAGAAATTATGGGATTTAAAAATAAAAAAACAAAATGTAAAAAAATTGGAATGAAAAAGAAAGAGAAGAAATGGATGAATGGCCAAAAAGGAGGAGAAGGAGAAGCAGAGCACGTGGTGGGAAGAGAGAAGGGTTTGGAAAGGGCAAAACAATGACACGAACTTTCACTGTATCATCTTCTTGCTCTTAGCTTCGCCATTATTCAATCTCCGCTCTACTTTTCGCCACTTTCTTCCCTTTCCCACTCCCACAATTCACCCATTTCAACCCTTTGACGCGCATACACACAGCGAGAGGCGGCCAAACGAGGATTTTCAGCCTTGTTTCTGGTCCCTCTCCTTCCCTTTTCCCCCTCCCCTGTTTCTGCATTTCATTCTTCCACTTCTTCATCTTTCTGGGTTTCCATTTTGGTTTTAATGCCCTCTCGCCGAAGCTGTTGCGTCATTTCGATGCCCTTTCTTGGATCCTCTTGAATCCGTGAGTTTTCTTGTTCGATTCACCTTCCATTTGCGTTTTTTTTTGTTTTTTGCGATGTTTCTGAACTGGCTTTTCTTGTTTGATGTTTGTGGATGTTGAATTGTTCGGGTTTTCTTGGTTTGTGAGATATAAGAACTCGTGGATGTTGAATTGTTTGTTTGCTTTTTGTGTTTTTGCTATTGAATCTGTGTATTATCGTCCCTTGGTTCCTTATCTTGATTTGTAATGATTGAGGTCTGTAACGCTCTAGCAGAAATCATGGTTTCCCGTTTTGGAGTTTCCTTTTCTGGTTTGGTTATTGTCATTCAGATCTGAGTTCAATTTTACAATTATTTTCTTCTTGAATTGCTTACTGTAATCGTTCAATTCCTGGATTGAAGAACGTGCTGCTGGTTCTACCAACTGCTTAATGATTAATTGTTTTGTTGTTGATTTCCCGAGGCACATTTGCTCGTTAGAAATCTTTCATGATATTGCTCCTTTAATTTGAAGAACATAATTCTGCTACTTTCCAGTGATAACCATTGGGGAATTTTCATGGACTAGTTCAAGGTTTTATGTAATTTCGGTTTGATTTTGAAAATTCGGACTGGAGGCACAATATATTTGCCTTGATAGTTTCAACCATGTGGGAATCTTAGATTTTAGGCTGTCGTATGTGTATTTGTCGGGTTGTCCATCTAAACCTAAGGCTGTTATAGATGCAATAACAAAACTTCGTATGAAAATATTTCGAGAAATCTATGAAGTCGAATTAAGGGGAGAACTTAGCTGGGTCGTAAATGCACCACAACTTTGTTTTCTATATCCATTTATATTTTTCAGATTCCCTTGAACTTTGATCAAAACGTTGCGTCAACTGGATATGTGAACTGGCTTGACCTGCGTGTTGAGCTAAAAGCATTAAGCTGATCAGGTGTTCTTGTTCCATGTCTTGGTAATGGTTGTAAGATCTATTTAGATTTTGGATATGGAAATGAAAGCACTGTCAATTGTTCGAGTTATTAGCCTCCTCTAGTGTAGTGGGGGTAAGGGAACTAACATATCTTCTTTATATAGTAAAGAATTAAAGTATAAAACGAATGAAGAAGTCGTGATGACGATGGGGCTACCTGGCTTACTATTATTTATTATAATCATTGTGTAACCGCCCAAGCCCACCGCTAGCAGATATTTTCCTTTTTAGGCTTTCCCTTTCGGGCTTCCCCTCAAGGTTTTTAAAATGTGTCTGCTAGGGAGAGGTCCCACCCTTACGAAAAATGCTTCGTTCCCCTCTCCAACCGATATGGTATCTCAAAATCACCCTTCGGGGCCCAACGTCTTCGCTGGCACTTGTTCCTCTCTCCAATCGATGTGGGATCTCACACATTGTCTTTTTAGATTTGGAATTGTGATAAGATTGTAAGGTTAAAGAGTTAATGTAATCATTATTTACAAGTTTGTATCAACTGAAGAACAGATTCAATCTTTTTCCAAAATTAGGCTAACAAAATGAGGGGGAACTATTTCTAGAAAACAATGAACTCAGCAACTTTCCGGTCATTTTATCTATAGCAATACTATCAGATTCTGCTAAATTGTTTAAGTTTTGTTTACCCTTTGCTGCTCTTCTTTATTATATTGAGTATTCAAATAGACCTCGCATTCTAAAGTCTTAACGAACTTCTAAGTTTTCAGGCGTCCGAGCACATTCATGGTGTGGTGCTCGAGTAAGATAGAGAATAATTACATAATGTTGAAACTTGCACAGTTTTTACTCTTTCCAAAATTGAGGGGTGAAGATATTTTCATACATTAGGCCAAAGTTCTTCAGCCATCTGAAAATGATATCATGAATCTATCATTGTCTTCGGACATCCCCATATCGGTTATTTATTTGCTTCTGTCCATATAGCAGGTTGCAGAAGGGCATCAGCTGAATTCAAGGTTTTCTTTGTCAACAAAATGAAAATGAAGCTTGGATCCAAGAAATGGAAATCCATCGTCCCTCGTTTTAAAGGAAAATCATCAGCTCCCTCGTTTTCTCTGGTTTCCAAATCTAAGTCGGTTAAATATTGTCCAGACAAAACGCCGGTCTATCTAAATGTGTACGATTTAACCCCGATGAATGGTTATGTCTATTGGGCAGGCCTTGGTATCTTTCACTCTGGTGTAGAAGGTAATGTCACAAACTTATCTTACAAGACCATCTTTGATCTGAATTTAGAAAGTTTGTAATGCATTTTATTCCTTTCTGAGAGTAAAATGTATGCATTGTGCAGTCCATGGTGTAGAATATGCATTTGGAGCTCATGACTATCCAACCAGTGGCGTTTTTGAAGTTGAACCTCGACAATGCCCCGGCTTCAAATTCAGGAGGTCAATATTGATTGGCTCGACCTGCCTCAATCGTCATGAAGTCAGAGAGTTCATGGAGCAACGCTCTTCGAGCTACCATGGTGATACATATCACCTCATTGTCAAGAACTGTAATCATTTCTGCAAGGACGTCTGTCATCAATTGACTGGGAAATCAATTCCGAAATGGGTAAATCGACTCGCTAAAATAGGTACCTCTTCTGTTCCATTCTCTCTTAGAAGTGATTTTCCAGCTGAATCTGATCATCTTAATGCTCGTTCTATCGATTTGATTCCAAAAAGTTTCCAGCTACAATACAATTTACCTTAGTTATAAGAACCTAACATCTAACATATCCTGTTCTATAGTCTCTGATTTTCTTGTTTGGCTAGCTTCCATCATCCTACTATTTATTTTGCAAGTTTAACAAAGGATGAACCTTACAGGTTCCGTTTGTAATTGCATACTTCCCGACTCCCTTAGAATATCTGCCGTAAGACACGATCCCACTTTCCCACCATATGAGACCGAGAGGACGAAGCTGAGGAATGCTTCCAGTTGCTTGTCTACTATATCAAGTCAGCAGAGGCAGCTGTCTTCATCTTCATTATTTCTACGGTCGCCATCGAAAGGCTGGGAATTGAAGAAGCCGAACGGCGATCCCCCTCATGCCTCAAAGGATAGGTGAGAAAATTTGATTGTGTTATAAGTATGTTTTCTTGGAAGAGAAGGGAAAGTTATTATTATTTCGATTTCACATAATTTGTTGGGAGATAGGTTGGTGAGTATATTATGGTGGCAAATCTCTGTTAGATAACAAACCATTAGCCTTGCAGTGTAAATGTATGTCTGTTTCTGGATCGTATCAATGAATGGTCCTTACCATGCAGCTCTCTGTCATTTCAAGCTACCCCCAACCCTCAAAAGGTAAGTGTCTAAAACTATGCATACTCATATCCATTCTCTGAATTTCCTGGCCTTTTAAGTGAATTCTCTATGGCTTTTACCATTAATTTTGTATGACATGGCTAACTGGTACTGTGATATACATGAATGACAGACAAAAGTAGACAAATAGACAAAAATATAGCGACAAAGCATAAGATTTGTTATGTTGGGCTGCTTTATTTTGTCTACTTGTTCTTCCTTTGTCATTTGTTATGTTGTACCAATATTTGTTTGATGAACATATCGATTCATCGTTTTAGTTAATGATGTTGATAGCAATTATGTAGAATCGTGATTTAAAGTTTACGAGTATAATTTGAAGTTTTAAGTTCTAAAGCTAAGTTCGAGAGTAAACAATAGGGTCAAGATAGGTGTTTTTCGAGGAAAAAAAAAACCCCTTTTCCTTGGTAGTTCACGAGGGGTCGGGATTAGAATATCTGACCTTTTTAGATGTTTGTTGACTTATAACTCCCTATTCTACATTGCAATGAGTTTTCATTGTGGTTGTGAAATTATAATGACCTTTGGTTTGATTTATTTTAGTGAAGACATTCATCTTCTAAGAAACATTTTGTGCGACCATTATGACCAACTTATTTCATGTTTATGGATTCAAATCAACAATCAATAATGAGAATGTGCATAATCGAGCTCGGTTATACTATTAAAAGATTTCTTCTAAGCCTACCTTTTCGGTAGATCTTTACAAAGATTTCTTACCTTTTCGGTAGATCTTTACGACTCACAAATTCATCGTAGGAGATTTCCATTTTCTTGTTTACAGGGGAAGCTATAAGCTGGACGTCGTCGTCATTCACTAATGGTCACTACTCTTAAATCAACAAGCTCAAGGGATAGAACTTTTTGGAGATAATACCACTTGGAATTACTCTTTCATTGGCTACTGTTTGTGTGGTATGTCAATAATTTTGAAAGAAAAAGGGAAAAAGAAGGAAAAATCTCGTGTCCCCAATATCTGGCTCTCTGTGCCTATTTGTTTGAAAGTGGGACCTCACAACTCACAGGCATCCCAAGGCCAATGGGAGAATCCAATGCGAGTGTGCCCTGAACTTGATTGGTATCGTCCAAGGGCCCTTGTCCTTTTCAACTGCAACCCAATTTATACAGACAAATTTGATAACATGGGGGAGCTATGGCGATCATGGAAAAACTCGAAGCCAATGTATAACCAATACCTAAATGACTTCAACAAATCTCCCCTCATCTTACAGATTCTTTTAGTTTGAATTTCCATCCACCAATAGTATCTGTCATATATAGTATTCAAAAAGAACAAAAAAAAATGAGTATGATAAGAGGAAGTGGGCATGAGATCTTGATAAGGTATGATTTCCTTTGCTACTATCATTACCTATTGGTAAATAAATAACAATAGTATTCATTATAATGTGTAGAGGAAAGAATAAGAAATACGATATCTCTACCGGAGAAAAGGGTCGAAACCCGACGATGATATTTGCAGGCAGCAGCATTCCATGAACATAAACCACTGGTAACAGAAGCTCAGCCTGCAGGATGTCATGACTCTAAAGCAAATTATGATGAGATTCACATATGAATAGGAATCCTCAGCAAAATTGTAAGTCCTAAACGTGTGAGACTCACGTGGACGCACACAAGCTACTCGGGGAAAATTGACAATCCCATGAAAACAAATCATACAAACAAGTTTATTTGAGACGACATATTAGTTAATGAATGCTTGCACACGGTGATGGTGATGGTGGTGGATGTGGTGTTTTCCATATAATTATCATCTACAAGAATTTACAGATGACATCCCAAATTAGCATTGGCGTGGTATACCTGCAGGAACACCAAAGAGACACCTCAGACATGTTCAATTCTGTCGACTCTTTTTCATTTTCATTCCCAAAATAGAAGTTTAATCCAGGCCTCAACATGTTCATGTTACATCATGCTTAGGCCAACAGAAACTCGCCTCCGCACTGAATGAAAAAAACTACACTCAAATATTATTATGTTTGTTGTGAAATACAGGCCAAGAAACGCACTCTAGTAGTTTTTAGCATAGATGGGTGGGTGCGTGCGTAACTGCCCCCCATCATAACAGTGCATAAACCTGGACAAACTAAAACTAAACTGGAACTAGTAAATTCAGTCGTCTTTCTGATGCAAAACACTACGGATGTTATTATTACCATTCAGAGCAGCAAGATAAACACGCTTCTCTGGGAGCCCAATATCCGAAAGCAGCATATTTCCCTGCAGAAGAGAACAGTTGCCATAACTTATCCACATACATCACATTCAAATAGGGCGTTGAAATATTTAAAAGGGATTCAGAAAGGTCTTGAAGTTTTCGTCATTGTCCTCGTTGCCCTTTAAGAGGCATGTTTAATTAAAATCTCTGATCACTCTCCTATATGAATATGGTGCAACGAAAGAGAAATCATACCTCTTTGGCCATAAACCTTCTGATATTACTAGCATAAAGCTTAGGATCATCCTTTTCTTCTTGTGATGGGACGTAGACAGGCAATCTTATTACCTCCAAGTGATTTACAAATTGACAGAGAAGAAGTAAAAAATGACGCCCCTGCGAATAGCAATTCAAACATATCTTAAAGTGGGGTCTTGAAACCTTTACAGTATAAGAATTGCAACCACAAACGAGTTGGTTCAACAATTTTAAGTAAAAGCAACAAACTCACACAAGGATATGGGTTCAAACCATGTAGCTACTACTAAAAATGTTCAATAGTTAGAAATTACAACATCAAAAGTAAAGTAATAAGGTTAAGTAGTTATCTTGTGGGATTAGTTAGGTGGTAAACACTCATGGTTATCCTGACAAGAGGGAAAAAATTAATTGTAAGCCATTAGTAATTTAGATTAAAAGATAGATCATTTTTATACCACTCAAGCTTCTAAATGTTCCAACTACCAATCGAACTTGCAATAGTTCACTACTAAAAAATTCATTGAAAACTTCTTACACCATTATACCAGAGTCTGGTAGTTAGATCATAAGAACTGTAGGCCTTACGAGAAACTTCACAATCAGAATATTTAACAGATATACTCAATGAATTATAGCATTTAAGAAAATAGTACTGCACCACCCAAATGGATGATGTTACTTTCACTTAACTAATTCTCTTTAAAATATTTTACGAAGAAAACTTCAAAGGAAAAAGTAAAATAAAATAGAAAGCCTTACTCCAGCCATTGATTCCCAGGCCAAACTAAATCTCTGATACGGATATCTTAAAATCAATGGAAGAACAGGAGCTTTCGACAAAAATGCCCCCGTTTTAAATGGTAGGAGATACTCCCCATTGGTAGTTGTTCCTTCTGTAGAAGAAATAATAACATATAAAACAACTTGGACAATTAACAAACACATGCAAAAATGCTAATATAACGTTATCGGTGTTCATATTCTTTTATTGCTAAATAAAACATGAACTTTTTTATTAGCTTGAAAGCTCACCTTTCAAGATAATTATTACTCATTAGTCCTGACCTCTGATAAAGGAAGCAGCAATTTGGCCATAATAAAATGTACACTCTTTAGCAGTGATAATTGGCAATTTTTAATAACCATCATTCAAATCAGTGCATCTTTATATCTAATTCTAAATTTTAAAATGGGAGATATTGGAGATTTGTTTTTAAGTTTCATCACTCTTATATTAAAATATTCTAAACATGTCCTCTTACTAAAAAATTTACATCTATCTTGCTCACTAATTTTGCATGTCTCTGAGGAAACCTACATTTTAATCATTCCATAAAAAATCAGACGCCTAAAGAATAAGGCTTTTTGCCCCAGCAGTTCTTATCCCCTCATGTACAAAATTATAGCCGAAGTTTTGGCTGAAGAGCTCAAAAAACTCTCCCCTTCATTTCCTCTTCCCAATGTCCTTTCATGGAAGAGAAGCAAATTAATGATTCTTGTCTAGTGGCTAATGATCTTATTGATGATTTAGTTAAGAATAAAAAAGGACCTTGTTTTCAAGTTTGACCTTGACAGAGTTGATGGAACTTCCTTTTTTGCAATTTTGGAGACCAAAAGGTCTTAGGAAATGGACTCTCACCATCAAGAGCAAATCAAAAGAGAACATTCTTGCTTCAAGAGGATCCATATCCCCCTTCCCTTTGCTGTTGCTTTAATGTGGGGATACAATGTTGTCTAGATTTCTCACCTCCAATTTGCTGATGACAAATTTTAGGAGTTTTTGGATCTAAACAGAACCCTCTCTAAAACAAAGCTCACTGGTTGTTCCTAATAAACCCTTGCCCACATGTTTAATTGCTTTGGTTGTCCATGGAGGAGTGGCCCTGTTCTTATTGAGGCTTATGTCTAAATGTCAACCCTCGCAAAGCTTTAGGAAATTGATCATTGAAAGAATTATTTGCAAGCTTGATATGTGGAAGAAAACTCTTCTCCCGTAAGAGAAGTAAGCTCACCCTTATCCAAGCCATCCTCCCAATCTTCTAGCCTTACCAAACGTTTCTTCTCAAAATGCCAAGCACTGTTAGAAAGATCCTAAAGAACAACCGCATATAAAGGTGGCTTCCATCTTATTCTTTGGCACAAAGTTTGGCCTCCCTATCTCTCAAAACTGGAAACAATGAAAACAAGAATTTGGCTCTCTTCTCTAAATGAATTTGGAGATTTCCATGAAGGAAGTCTTCCTTTGGCACAAACTTATTGCTCTGAAGTATGGAAGTGAAAGAAAAAATGGCTGGAGGACTTCTTTCACCCCCAACATAAAATATAGAGGCCCTCCAAAAATTTCCTTCATCCTGGAAAACGGAAACGAAGTAGGATTTAGGAAGATAGTTGGATAAGAATTTAGGAAGATAGTTGGATAAGAATTTAGGAAGATATTTGGGTAAGAATTTAGGAAGATAGTTGGTGGGCTCCTGCCCTCTTTCAGCGTCTTTCCCAAGACTTTATAATCTCTCTAATGGGAAAGAACTCAGCACCGACCAAATCTGAAACAACCACTTGGGCAAGAATTTTAGCCTTAGAATAGATCTTTACGACCTTGAAGTCCAAGAATGGGTCCCTCTCAGATGATAGCTGGTCTTGAAATTGACTTTCAGGCACAGGCAACTCCTTTAGCAAGTCTTCAATAAGGATCTCCCCATTCTCAACCTAAATCACTGCAAAGCTATTTGAAAAGGCCTTTGCCAAAAGGGTGGAGGTATTTGTTTGGGGAGCTCTCTCTTGGTTGCATAAACAATGAAGACAAGATTCAAGTACGTGCAGAACATCAACACCACCTCATTTTTCACTTTCCCTAGAGCTTGGAACTTCTGGAAAGCTATCTTTGGAACCTTCAATTGGTCTACTCCGAAAAAATGACACTGACTCTTATTTTGGAAGGGCATCCATTTGAAAAGGAAGTCAAGATTTTGTGACTCACTTTCATCAGAATTATTTTATGGACCTTATGACTTAGAAATAGTAGAGTTTGTCTAGACTAAGAGATTGCTTTTAGCTTTTTAATCTCTCATTTTTGGCCACTAGGTGTAAGTGAAATAATTCCTTCGGTAACTACTCTATTAATACATTTTACCCTTGGAAGGACTCTCCCCTTGTTGTTCCGTGTCGTTAAATCTATTAAATTCTCATAATTTATTTTATTTTATTTGTAAGAAAAAAGTAATTTGCAGGGCTAAATAAAAGAATTATTATTTTTTAAAATAGTTATTAGTAAGGTAAAAGTAAACCTTGCTTATATAACAAAACCAAGACTCCTCAATTATCAAAGTACGATAAGTTCAGGCATTTTGATTCTCTTAGGTTAAAGGGGCAAGCATAGAAGATGACATTAAGAAACCTGGAAAAAGCATCATCATGGGAGCAGAGCTATTCTTCACAGCTTCTCGAATTCTTTCACTCACAACACCTATAAACAACAGTGTAATAAGTATCTGGAGACCAGATGCAGAATTAAAAATGAACATTAGGTGAGAAACATTTTGCGGGACTAATATCCTCGATTGAACTCTAATGCAACGATCATGCAATATTGAGAATTTGCAGTAAGATTGTGTAAACGATGATGGTTTCCTATGTTATCTTGAAACACTTCACTAGCCCAAATGAGTGACTAGATAGCCAATAGTATGAATGAGTCTCTCTAAATAAGTTTCAAAAAGCAACAACAACCAAAAGAAAATGTCAAAGATGATTGACAGTGAGAGCACGACGCACCTGAAACACCCTTGGATTCAGTTGTCTTTGACTCCCGTTGAACATAAACACAGCCAAGGCACTTGCTGTCACAAACAACAACAGGTAAACTTAAGAGCTATAAAACATCAAACAGGGCTAAATTTTTGGATTTTCCTCTAAATTTTAAAGCTAAATCGTTCAATGAAACAAATATTTGGAAACTAGAGATTGGAAGATGTACCCAAAAGAGAAAAATTCTTACCTGATAATACCAACTAGAGGAAGTTTAGCCACTGATCTCTTCAGCCAAAAAGAAAAAAGAAAAAAGAAGAAAAATTGAGGATCAGAAAAGCCAACCCAAAGATGAACTAAACTGTAAAGTCATACATATTGTCAGTATAATTATGCCAAAATTTGTTTGAACAAACCTTAGCAACAAAGCTGGGAAAGGAAGAAGACATATGATACAAAATATCCAAATATGATACATGGTTGCTGATGATAACCCCCGGTCTTTCAGACTCTTGGGAATTCTCTTGCCCCTCGTTCTAAACATCAAAGAAGAGGTAAAAACAAATAACAATGAACACCAAAACAAGCTCAAAGATCAAGAGGTGAAGATACGTATGAACTGATGAGGCATACGAGAAAGCAGAACCGAACAATGGCGGAGTCTCAACTTGGAAAATATAAAAGCACACCTCGTTAGTTGACTTGTTCTCATTCGGCGGGATTCGATTAACTTCCGAAATCCAATAAAACCCTAACACGAATAACATAGCTCTGGACACGAATCTTCCAGACCAAACAATCACGGACCTCCTCCATCCCACCATATGCGCGTAATCCTCCTGCTCATCCGTCTCCCTATTTGGATCATAAAGCAACGTACAAATTCTGCAAATCATGTAATAGAGAAACAGCAAACTCATTCCAAAAACCACTCGTATTGGAACGATCGTAATGAGCGCCATTCCGAGCAGCACCTTCTCCATCCACGGCAGCTCCCCGCGGCCCATGGTGCCGTAAGCATCCCGACGGGAAAACGGAGCATATTTGAGGTGGATATCGTCGGAATCCTGGTCGGCGACGGCGCCAGAATCGGGGTTCAACAATGGGCGATCATCCCTGGCAGAGGATTCATCGGATGCGTTGGATTGGGGTGGGTCGAACCTCAATTGCTGGAGCTCGGACGCCATTTTCCCTCCCCCAAAAACGCGAAATCGTTCCGATAAAGCTTTTCTTTGGTTCGCTTTGCTAAGCTCCTCAAGAACTCAAGACTACGATTGCGTCGTCACAGCGATTTTCTTTTTACTATTTTTTCTTTTTTTTTTTTTAATTCTTAATTCGCCAAATTATTAAATTATTAAATTATTATAATATTTTTTGCTTTTTTCTTTTTCAGAGTTTATCTTATTAAATTAAAAACTAATTTTGACAACCATTTTATTTTCTATTTTTGGCATTTCGTTTTTTTCTTTCATCTTTTTAAAGAAAAATAATTAACTTTTTAATCAAATTTTAAAACAAGACAAACAGAAAAAAAATAAAAATAAAAATATATATAAACAATTATTGGTTTAATTTATAAAAATTAAATATCAGTCTTAAATTATTAAAATTTAGCTATTTTTATAATAATATTTAATAAATAAAATTATTATTATTATTATTATTTAAAATTATTGAGATCTACGGTGAAGACTTTTCGACCAGTGAGGAATCGCAATCTTACTGGAAAAATACTTATTTAATTAAACGTTTGGGCCCACTGTTTGAGCTTCGATTTGGTGCGGCAGCATTCATCGTTAGAATGTAAGCCTGACGCTGTTCTCACCGTTTGATTTTAATCGTGCGCACCATATGATATTTGTTTTTTTTATCAATATATTATTGTATTTTTCTTTCTTTCTTGCTATTTTACCATTTCTTTATTATTATATTTATCATATCTCATATTTTTTCTTTTATTATTTTTAGTCTCCCCTCATTTAGTTCAATTTGTCATTATACATAATTTTATACATACTATATAAATTTGTTTTTATTATTTTATTAATAATGTATTATAAGATTTATATATTCATAATATACTTATTATTAATAAATGTAAATTAAATTAAAATTTAATTAGTTAAAAAGATTTTAAAATTGACTAATGAAAACCGCTCGAATCCAATGCCCTGAAACCCTAAGGGTTCCTCCGCAAGGTTGGAGGGTGAGTCAGAGCTTAAGAAATCTAAGGATTCCTCTGCAAGGTTCGTCCACGGAGGGTGAGTCGAAGCTTAAAATCAAGCTGAAAGGCGTAGTCGATGGACAACAGGTGAACATTCTTGTACTACCCCTTGTTGGTCCCGAGGGGCGGAAGAGGCTAGGTTAGCCAAAAGATGGTTATTGGTTCAAGGACGCAAGGTGCCCCTGTTTTCAGGGTAAGAAAGGGTAGAGAAAACACATTGAGCCAATGTTCGAGTACCAAACTCAACAATAAATATATATATATATATTATTTATTTATATAAAATTCTGATAGCACTCTGTGTGAATACTAAAGACAACTATTTGATTATCAATGATCTTATCATCAGACGTCTTAAATAAAAGATCCAACAAAACAATCTTCGACCATAAGAGTAACATTGAAATTCTTATGAAAGGTCGAGAAAATATTGCAACCTTGAAATCACAATCCTATCAATGAAAACAAACTAAAAGAAATGGAGAGCTCAGAAACTCAGCAGAATATCCCATGGAAGAAGTTGAAATGAACAGAAACTGAGACATGAGAATCCCTACCTCCCATTCAGTGCTCAAAATTCAGCAAATTTTTCAATACAAATGAAAAGGGGAAAGATCATGGAATGTAAAGTGAAAGAACCCAGAATGAAGAAGCAGAAAACTACCAAAATGTTGATGAAACCAGGAATGATGAAGCACAAAACTACCGAATGTTGATGAAACTAGGAATGATGATGTGAGATCCCACACCGGTTGGAAGGAGAACGAATCATTCTTTATAAGGGTGTGAAAACATCTCCCCAGCAGAGACATTTTAAAAATCTTGAAGGAAAGTCTAAAAGGAAAAGTCGAGGCCAATATCTGCTAGCAGTTGACTTGGGCCATTACAAATGGTATTAGAGCTAGACACCGGACGATGTGACAGCAAGGAGGCTGAGCTTCCAAGGGGGTTGGACACAAGACAGTGTGCCAACAAGGATGCTAGAACTCGAAGGGAGTGGATTGAGGGGTCCTAGGCAGCAGTGATTGGAGAAGGGAACGAGTGTTAGCGAGGACGCTGGGCCCTAAAGAGAGGTGGATTGTGAGATCCCACATCGGTTGGGAAGAAAACGAAACATCCTAACCTCTCCCCAGCAGACGCATTTTAAAAACCTTAAAGGGAAGTCCGAAAAGAAAAACCTAAAAAAACAATATCTGCTAGCGGTAGGCTTGGATTGTTACAGATGAAGCAGAAAACTACCCGAGGGTGATCAAACCAGGAATGATGAAGCAGAAATTTACCAGATGTTAGTCATATATCTGAGGCAGAGATTAGAATTGCTACAACATATTGATCATATCATATGAATTGGGTTGGATTATAAACTTCATAACATATCAAACATTGATGTGAACCTAAACAAATCTAAAAGAATAAAACTTGTCTATTGGGCTCATAATAGAAACTGCAATAACTCCTTCAAACAATTCAAATTCATTCAACTTTTCATAAAAATGTGCAATTTTATTCAGTGTAAATAGGTTGTTCTCTAAGAAATTACTCAAACAACCAACAGAGCTCCAAATATTTCATGCTTATACGCTATTAAATCCATCATCTAACTAGGAGAGTTTGATTCAAAGAAACTAACCAATCCGAACATGAACACTCTGGTAGGTGCCATGGATCTTCATACTTCTGCACAGGAAAACAACATATATATAATCACATCAGAGAGCTTCCCCTGGATAAAAATGGCAGCTACCAACAAGATAAACTGAAGGATTTTAATGGTAATGGCTGTAGAACCCATGTAGAGATTAAGCTGAAATCTTACAGTTTCAAGCTCTCAGATCTTTTGGGATCAAATTCCCTTTGAACTATGCTTTATTGTATGATTTGTTTCATATGATCTGTGAAAGAATCCCAAATAAACAGAAAATTTAGCCTAGTAAAATTGAAACCTATCTCAGCATGATATCCAGTTCTTATGAGTGCTAATCAAAGCCGAGAGAAGCCCAGCACAAGATAGAAAAAGCGGCCCTGAAAGCCGGCCATTCCCATCACGAATGTCAGCCAACGCCATGAATCCATCGGCGAAGTCTTGAACGATTGAAAGTTTCTTCATCAATTTTTTCGCCTGCAACTTCTTCATCTTCTCTTCCTCTTCCCGATTTCCATTTCCCTTAGACACCGCAATATCCATACTCGCTTTCAAACGCGCCTCGTCTTCAACAATCTGATTGAAATCCCTAAATTTCAACGAAATACTCCCAATATAACCAATAAATTCCGCCCACGCACTGATCTTCTGCAGACGACTAGAGTATCGTTTATCAATCAAACCAGCTTTAATCAACCAAATAAACTGTTCGATGAAGTAATAAATCCCCTCTCCGCCATACGCGACGATCGCGAGCACAAGTTCTTGGCTCGATTCAAAATGCGAGTTTCTCAAAGCGTTGAGGTCCTGCACGAACTTCCCAAGGCGGAAGGCTTTACGGCTGACGCCGACGTTGGACTCGAAGCTCTTGAGACGTTGCGTGAGAGGAAGGGATTCGGGAAGGGCGGAAGAGGAGAGGATGATCTTGGTGGCGTACCTGGAGATTTTCAAGAGCTTGTCAACGCCGTCTCTCTTTGCGAGGTAAGCTTCGAGATGATTGAAGAAATCTCTATGCTTCTCGGCTGACGACGGGGGAGATTTGGATGCCATGGCCGTGCTAGGGGCGGAGAGAATGGAGGCAGGAGAAATCTCTCCCAATTTGACCGGAGAGTTGTTGAATGAGAGTATCGGAAGAGAACCAATACGACGGCGTTTTGTAATCTCTTACATTGACTAGTTATGCGTGCCATGAGATTTCCCCATATGTGAAGTCGATAGGAGAGTGGTTTAAATTTGTGTTTTTCTTTTATTTTTTGTATTTTAATTTCACTAAATTAATAAAAATATCTAAAAAATTTATATTTTTTTCTTAAAAAAAAAAATACTTCAAAAACTATTCTTACACTTTCAAAAAAAAAAAAAAATCTAAAAAAATACCATTAGTTTTAGATGAAAATTATTAATATTTGTTTGAGAAATAGGCGTTTTAAAAATACTCTTAAATTTTCAAGAGTGTTTTAAAAATACATTTGAATTTTAAAAAATTTAATTAATACCCTTAAATTTTTTTAAAAATATTTAAAAATACCTTAACTTTTATTTATTTTTTCAATCCCGCTTGTGGTTGAAGTAATATATATTTTTTTAATAAAAAGAACATCAAATGAGGTTATAGGGAGAGCATGCACTTCTAGGCTCTATCAATAAAAGCATATGGGAATCGAGAGTCTACGTTATGGGATAGCTAGCCTAAAATCATTAGTCAAGCTTAACTCAAGCTTGAAATATTCTATCAAAAAGTCAACTCAATTGGTTCCAAAGTTAGAGAATTCAATAATTGTTATATTCAAAATAGAACGAAAAAAGAACCAACTAGATTAAAAGCTTTGAGCTCTCCCAACTGAGCTAGACGGGCCATATTTAATAAAAGAATTAGACATTCACCCACTGTGGGGCTCAAAACCCACAACTACAAGGTCAGGAGCCTTGCGCCGCTCTACCAACTAAGCTAGATGGGCCATATAAAAGTACAACCTTTTGATCTCTTAAACGAGTGTGTCCTAACCCACAACCACAAGGTTAGGAGCCTTGCGCCGCTCTACCAACTAAGCTAGATGGGCCATATAAAAATACAACCTTTTGATCACTTAAACGAGTGTGTCCTAACCCACAACCACTGCTTCTTGCACTCTAACAACTAAGCTAGACGGGCCACAATAAAAAACACAATCAACCTAATTAATACACTTCTTCACCAGTCAAAAGTATTTGAGGATTCGCCCACCGTGGGGCTCAAACCCACGACCACAAGGTTAAGAGCCTTGCGCTCTACCAACTGAGCTAGATGGGCCATATAAAAGTACAACCTTTTGATCTCTTAATCGAGTAACTTAATTAGTGCTTCTTGCACTCTAACAACTAAGCTAGATAGGCCACACCAGTCAAAAGTATTTGAGCATTCGCCCACCGTGGGACTCGAACCCACGACCACAAGGTTAAGAGCCTTACGCTCTACCAACTGAGCTAGACGGGCCATATAAAAGTACAACCTTTTGATCTCTTAATCGAGTAACCTAATTAGTGCTTCTTACTAAGCTAGATAGGCCACACCAGTCAAAAGTATTGGCCACACTAGTCAAAAGTATTTGAGCATTCGCCCACTGTGGGGCTCAAACCCATGACCACAAGGTTAAGAGCCTTGCGCTCTACCAACTGAGCTAGACAGGCCATATAAAAGTACAACCTTTTGATCTCTTAATCAAGTAACCTAATTAGTGCTTCTTGCACTCAAACAACAAAGCTAGACGGGCCACACTAGTCAAAAGTATTTGAGCATTCGCCCACCGTGGGGCTCGAACCCACAACCACAAGGTTAAGAGCCTTGCGCTCTACCAACTGAGCTTGACGGGCCCATATAAAAATACAACCTTTTGATCTCTTAATCGAGTGTCCTAATTAGTGCTTCTTGCACTCTAACAACTAAGCTAGACATTCACTGGTCAAAAGTATTTGAGCATTCGCCCACCGTGGGACTTGAACCCACGACCACAAGGTTAAGAGCCTTGCGCTCTACCAACTGAGCTAGACGGGCCATATAAAAGTACAACCTTTTGATCTCTTAAACGAGTAACCTAATTAGTGCTTCTTGCACTCTAACAACTANCGTGGGGCTCAAACCCACGACCACAAGGTTAAGAGCCTTGCGCTCTACCAATTGAGCTAGACGAGCAATATAAAAATACAACCTTTTGATCTCTTAATCGAGTAATCTAATTAGTGCTTCTTGCACTTTAACAATTAAGCTAGACGGGCCACAATAAAAAACACAATCAACCTAATTAATACACTTCTTCACCAGTCAAAAGTATTTGAGGATTCGCCCACCGTGGGGCTCGAACCCACGACCACAAGGTTAAGAGCCTTGCGCTCTACCAACTGAGCTAGACGGGCCATATAAAAGTACAACCTTTTGATCTCTTAATCGAGTAACCTAATTAGTGCTTCTTGCACTCTAACAACTAAGCTAGACAGGCCACACCAGTCAAAAGTATTTGAGCATTCGCCCACCGTGGGGCTCAAACCCACGACCACAAGGTTAAGAGCCTTGCGCTCTACCAATTGAGCTAGACGAGCAATATAAAAATACAACCTTTTGATCTCTTAATCGAGTAATCTAATTAGTGCTTCTTGCACT